AATCTGCGTCTAATCACAGGCATTCTGACTGGTCATTGACAAGTACAGAAGCATCTCCATATCATGGCGCTGTCAGAATCCGCACCCTGCTGGTGGTGCGAACAAAAAGATGAAACCATCGAACATATCCTCTACGATTGCCAGTCGCTCTCATTTATTAGAAGATTTGTTTTCAGCGAGTATTGGCTAACAGCGGCCGATATAAGAGAAACACCTCTTGGCGACGTAGTCAACTACATTAAATGTGTAGGCTGGCTCATGAGATATGAGGTGCCTATCATTTTCTGAGAATAAAAATGGGCCTAGTGAGGCTAAGTGCTGTGGTTTAATCCACCCTCTACACGTTACATATCCAGAAGTACTGTAGGTAGCTGTAAAGGCATTTCGATTACATCCTGATAGCAGCGACTTGGTTCCTCGAAGTGAGTTTGTCATATATTTTAATTATTGTTTTGTATTATTGTTTATTTACTATTTTAATTCGAATAGTTTAAAAAACAAACAAAAATAACATATTTAAATAAAAGAGTAAGAAATTAAACGATGCATAATACGTAGGCGTAAATTATCATTATAGGTAACACTGATTTAGAAATTAAAAAAAAAACTTTGACAGCCAGATGCAAAAACGTTCAATAAAATTTCCGAATAACACAATGTATTTTTTTTGTGTAATTTAAATTCTAAAACTAAACTAATTTCTAATTACTACTTAGTTAAATACAACTATATTAACTATACTGCAATTTTCACAAAACGCTAATAATAATATACCAAACGTTGCTCTGGTTGCTCTACATAAATTGACAGCTATATTTGACGTTAAACCACCTCTAAAACACTGAGAAAACTTGGCAGTTTTTGTCCACGAATCGCCCATTTAGTTTCGCTTCATGGGTAGGTATTCTTTGGTATCGCCTAAATGGAAACAAGTGGTTTAGGATTGCAACCAATTTTATTGCAGGTCAAAATAAAAAAACTTGGAAGTTTTACTACAGGTATTATTATTAATTTAAAATACACATTGACAACTTAAAAATTTAAAATATACTATCAGTACATTTTAATCGACGCTACCCTTTTTATTTTGTTGCAACACCACTTAACGCATTATCCAGAATTGTTAAAAAAAAAAGAACAGAAATCTAATTATTTTTCTATTTCACTCTTTCTACAATACAGACAGAGATGGGTCTAATAGGAAAATAAAAACAGACATTTGGCAATAAAATTAAAATTTTCTGAATTTATTGGTACACGTCATGGGACATAGGGGAGATAAAAATTTCAACTTTAACAATTATTTCTTTGGCCTATATTTTGTTAAAGTACTTTATAAGCAGTAGAGTTTAAATTGGAGTAATAAAAATATTTGACTGTTATATTCCATTTAAACGTGTTTTATCTAGATGAATTAAGAAGCCTAACATACTCTGGTATCCTTTTATAAATAGACACACCTTTAACATACATAGAATCCTACACCATTTTTTAATTTACCTTTGGAATATTTAGATTATTTTTTATCATCTGTATTTTTATACAACAGCTCTTTACTATAAAGTTAATTTAATAACTAAACGTTTTTATGGCTTTATTTTGTAGTCTTTTTGACCTAAAGGAAACCACAATTCAGTCAAATACATCAAATAACTATGGATTAGCAAAAAATACACAGATCTTAATATTTTTTGGAATGACAGAGATTAACTTCCCAAGTATTCCTACAGTAGAGGCAATCTTTTTTTGTAGATAATTCAAATGAGATTCCCAAAAGAGAGTTTCATCAGCAAAAAGCCCCAAGTACTTAATTGCCTTAGTGTATTTCAATGTTATGTATCAAGATTTGATCCATTGATGTCCCTTGTTTTGCAATATACATAAATGAAGATTTGTCTAGGTTAAGAGTAAATGTATGACTCTGCAAGCATCCTGAGAGCATCTCCAAGTCACCCCTGATGTTTTCCTTTGTTTAAATATGCCTAGTCAAGGTACAGGAGCGGTGTCATCGGCATGAAGCTTTAGTCTGCATTTAAGATTTAATTTTGAAATTAAATTTATATAAGCTAGAAACAAAGTAGAACCCAATATTGACTGGTGGCAAACACCCTATTGTACCCCTTTTGTGATACTCCACTTCACGCCATTCAACGATACATACTATGTAAAGAATAACCAACCAATTCAAGTTTTCTCAATAGAATGGAATGATTTAGGTACTGTATTGAATGCTTTCTTTAAATCTAGTGACAACAGTGCACACTTTTTTCCCTTGTTCTCTTTTACCAGAATTTCTGAGATTAGATCTATATTCACTGCACTATGAAGACTAGAGATAAGGAGGCGAATCGGCCTTGGTCAAATTTCAAATTTCCGTCCCTATTTTTATGGAGTTCCAAAAAACTACTGTAGTTGGCGGGTCGCAAAATAACGACGTCTATTTTCTATGCAAGTGAATGGGAATTATAGTGATTTTTGTAAAATGTATTGCAAAGAATAAGCTGAAATAAAGAACCTGACTACAAGTAACAATGAATAACAAAAAATGGCAAAGCAGGATTTGCTTCGTTCCGGGATGAAAAACGGGATATAAATCCGATATAAAATTAAAGAAAACACAAGGAGATAAAAATCCAAGTCTTTTTAAAGCTCCTAGTGTAAGTAAAATAATGTTTTTATTTCTAAATAATATATATTTATTGTAAAATAGTCACAACCCGTATCTTACGGAGTGTAGTTTATTTAATTACAAAATTCTATAATAAAAAATAAAGTCATAAATCCTGACTTACAAACAACAATAATTACACATTAAATTTAACTTACTAGAAAAGAAAATTTGCTTTTTTTATGTTAGATGAAGAGTTACTACTGTTATTTTTCTTTATTGAACTCCAATTTAGTCATTGCAAATATTTTTTATAGGATCCTAAACGTTTAGAACAATGGCAGCATGTGATTCCTACGGCTGATAAAGTACTGTCCAGTTATGATTCTGTTTGCGAGCTACACTTTTTAGAACATCATATTTAAAAATTTGATGAGACTATTTTAACTAATGGTACTGTTAACAAAATAAAAAGGGAAAGGCCGAGATTAAAGAACGAAGCAATACCATGTATATTCCCGAATCTCCCTTCATACTTGCCCAGTATTAGGAAAAGACGAAAACCACCATTGAACCGAACTGAATTTGTTAGAATAAAAAAAAAGGAAGAAAATACTAGAACCTATTACTGAAGAAACTATTCACCAGGATGATGAAATTGTAGTTGTCGAATACAAAACTACCACAAAACTGTACTTATCAAATTTCACCATTTAAAAAACCTTTTCAAATTTGGTCATACCTAATTTTTATTTTATTTAGATAAAATTAAATAATGAATAGTAAATAATGTTTAACATAAAGACTCATTTATAATTAATACCAACAGTATTTTCTGTACTTTAGTTAGCAATTAAAACAAAGACTTATTTACAATAATTAAAATCAACAGTATTATCTGTGCTTTAGTTAGCAATAAAAAATTTGATTTTTATTATTTTCATAAAATCCCTAACTAATTATTTTCATTTAAACCATGTCTTAGTATGCCCTCAGCTTTAATTAAAAAATAATTAGCCCTACCCATCAAATTTCAACACTTATCATCAATAATTTGCATTTTACTTAAATAGGAATAAATAGTAAATAAATATATATATTACGGAATAATCCATAGTATCAATAAATAATGTATCAATTAAAATATGTAAGACTTATTTAGAAATAAATACAACAGTATATTCTGTGCTTTATTTAGCTATAAACAAGTTTATTTTTATTATTTTGACAAAATTATGTATAATTCCCATAAGAAGCCATGTATTTTGAACTACGTAAACTGTACCAGCGCCCATGCGGTTAATTATAAAAGCTCAATTGACATATTATTTTTGGGACCGTATTTTGAACATGCTGATTCGCCTCCTTACCTCTAGTCTTCATACACTGCACTCATGTCACTAGATTCTCTGAAACCACACTGGTACTTATAAACAAAAAAATGTTTAAGAAATTTATAAATGATAAAAGCTTCTGATTTTTTTCAGTGATTTTTCAGAAAATAGGCAACACTGATACTGGTCGATTTGCACTAAAATTGGTATCTGAGAATTTTAAAAGCCAAAGATTACAGATCCAAAATAATTTTTTAAAAATTGAAAATAGCGGTGAAAGAAATCGTATTTATTCAAAAAAGGGCCCCCTTGGATGGAAATAATAAAAATTGTCCTTTGGGTTTGTGTAACTGGACCATTTTAAAAAGAAGCCACCATTATTGTTCCACAAGGGTGAGCGTGGCGAAGAATACCAAGTGGATGCGAAGTGAGAATTCAGGTGGGATCAAGAGGAAGATCAATGGAGAGAGAAATGTGAAAAACTGTTTTTGGTTTGGGGGTTTTAATTTTAAATTATTAAAATTTAAGTGCTTAGGAGCTCCCTGTTTTTACAATTTCTCGAGAGAAGTTCTGGGTAAAATACTTTATTGATTTTTTACTCCATCCATGTTAAGAGTTCTTAATACTGCTTGTATAATCATGATCAGTGACATCTATATTTAATCTAAAAGCACAGTATCTTAAAAACCTAATTTTACTCTTTCTAGTATTGTGCAGTGATTTTGATATTATGAAGACCGTACGATAGCTGTGTATTGTAGTTTCGAAACAATTAAGGAAAAATATACCATTCTTATAGCCTTTGTGAAATTAATAATTCCGTAATTATTAATGACATTAAAACATATTTTTCAGCTTAGTGTTCATATTTTCAATGTTTTCTGACAAAAGACACTTTGCATATGGCAGTTAATTTTTTTTATCTAGCCAATGACAATCAACTGTTACCTTAGTACTTTCCAAAATTTTTGACTGTCTGTAGACGTTATTTAATTCTTATATTGTTATTTAAATGAACTTAAGTATGACTGTTTACGGTTTGGTATTTAAGTACTCACATTTTCTCGATAGCTTCTGAAATCTCTGGCCAAAATTCATCAACAATGGAATCTAATTTTTTTAGAGCAAATACTTTCAATTCTGGTCTTGGTTCTTCTAGTAGGGATATTATCCCCGCTGAAATAAAAATAAAATATAATGACTAAGATAAAAAAGAGTGAGGTTATGAACGACAACATTTATTTATAAAGTAAAATAAAAGTGTTGTAAAGTTAAAAATAAAAGGGAATTTTTGTATTTTTAAACAGTAAATATTTAAATTAAGGTACAATTAGTTGATTTGTTCATAAATGCAAAAATTGTATGTCATGACTTGCAAAACAGCAGCGTTTTTGTTATTTAATGGTTTTAAAATCAAATCGAATTAAACATTACATGTACGACAATAAAAAAAACAATTTAGTTACCAGCTGAAGTAATATTCATTTTAAAAGCACTTGAAAATCTTAATAAGTTTTCGTTGCAAGCACAATTAAAATTTTCGGAAATTTAATAAAGTCAAAACTTTTGCTTGACACTTGACAGTCTTGACACTGACACTACTGTTGACAGTGTTGACTCTTCAACATTAAAAAATTAAAAACCCTAACAGCGGGTTTCTCACATCTCTAGATAGCAGTGTTGCCAGATATACCATTTTTATGGTATTTATACCATTTTTTCTACTACGATACCTGCAAGTTTTTGAGGATACCATTTTCCATTTTTGTACCATTTTTTGGCTACTGATACCATTTTACTACCATATTTTTAACTCTTAATTTTTTATTTGATTCAATATAATAATACTACTCTACTAGCAAGTAACAAGATTGATCACAGGTAGGTACAGTGAGGACGTTTAAGTTGGAATAATTTTGATATTTTTCTATACAACAGTATTTTAACGAGATACTCAGGTCAATTTTTATTTTTAACTTCTCGTCTTACTCTACAAATGGATGTACTAATGACATCAACACTTTCTTGTACATTTTTTATAAAACAATATAGTTTTCTCTTCTTTTTTGAATTCCCCAATAATAGACGATTACAAATATGTATCTATTATCGGGAAATTCATAATTGAAGGGAAAAATATCGATGACAATGTAGCGTAAGACGTGCAGTTGACCTGTGAAAGCATTTTGTTAAAATACTGCTGGACAGAAACATATTGAATTTATTCCAACCTATACGTCCTCATGCACTGTAAAATATACTTACCCATAGGTTATAGGTATAAATTACTCAGAGTCTGAACTTGCGAATAGAAGGGCCCACGGTTCGAATCTCACCGATGGCTGGGATTTTTTTGATTTAATTTATTTAAAAATAATTTTGAATTATGGGTAGGATTCCTCGCTCCAACTATTCACTGTTGGATTCTAATTAACAGTGCTGTTCCTAAAGTGGCGCTAGGAAACAGTTACAAGGCCTGTCTGTGAGGGTGCACTACTGCTCTATGGAGTAATACAGACTACTAGTACACTCCATTACCTACATAAAACACGACCTAAGTTGTCGTAGCCGAAGACCAATAAAAAAAAATGAATACAGAGAGTACACTAAGTATCTGGCAAATTTGCTCAGTTCAGTAAGATTACAGTGACCCTACTGTCTATTCTCTGTTCTTCCACTCTCGTTCTTGATAATACTTTATTCAAATAAAATTTTTGTTAATTTCATTTTTTATTTGTTCATTATGTATAATATACGGAGTGGCCCAAAAGTCTGGAAACGGCCAATTATCTCGTAAATTGCTAATCCTAACTGTACAAAATTTGGGTTGCACCTATTATGGGATACGGAGATTCCAGATTTGATATTTGCAATATTGCCAGATTTTCCGTTTCTCTTATATTATTAGTCACTTTGGTTTTTCAAATTCATCACCCTGTATATTCAGCCATTATTGGAATCTCTCATTCAATACGAGTTCAACCATATGTAACACTTATGATTTTATATAGTCCGAAAGGTCTTAAATAAATAAAACAATTATGGAGAAATGTGGTAGACGCATTCTACCATCGATTAGGGTACTGTCAACTCACAAATGGAGCACATTTTGAACACTTGATAAAGTAACTATTATATAATCTTTCAATTGTTACGTTTTAATGTAGTTGAAAATAGTTTGTATTAAAAAATTTGTTGAGACAATTAGGCGTTGCCAGACTTATTCTATTTATGTAAGACCTTCCAGACTACATAAAATCATAAGTGTTACATATGGTTGAACTCGTATTGAATAGGAGATTCTAATAATGACTGAATATACATGGTAATGAATTTGAAAAACCAAAGTGACTAATAATTTAAGAAAAACGGCAAATCTGGCAACATTGCAAATATCAAATATGGAATCACCGTATCCTAAAATAGGTACTCCAAATTTTGTACAATTACGACAAGCAATTTACGAGATAATTGGCCGTTTCCAGACTTTTGGGCCACTCTGTATATGTATTATTTAGCAAAATTATATAAAAATATAGACCTTTGCCATAAAAATTGTGCTATCATGCATTTTTAAATAAACTATATGTGTGTAAAACTTAATTATTTGGTGTTGTCAAGATTATTCAAGATACCATTTTTTGTCTGTAAAATACCATTTTTTTAAGTGTCGGATACCATATTTTTTGTTTTTTATCTGGCAACACTGCTAGATAGGCTCTATCAAGCTAGCGGGCTCTCTGTGGCGGCACCATACAAGACCTGGTGGGTTTTTTGTAGCTTTTTTGTTACACTATTTGCAAATTTGTAGCTTTGCCCAGGTCCGAAAAAACAGCGGATCCGCTAGCTTGAATTTCCATAAATTCCATAGTAGCGGCACAGATTCAGACCCAGCTGGTTTTTCGTAACTTTTTTGTAGCTTTTTTGTTACGCTAGTCTCCCTTTTGTAGCTTGTACTGAACCTGAGAAAAGCGCGAATCCGCTAGCTTAGCGGATATTTGTAGCGGCACCAGTTCGGACCCGGCTCATTTTTTGTAACTTTTTTGTAGCTTTTTTGTTACGCCTGTCTCCATTTCGTTGCGAGGCCTGAACGTGAGTAATAATCGTTTCTCCATGAGCGTGAGAGAAAAGTGCGTTAATTTAAAATCAAGTTTCGGCCTCTACAAATAATATGTGCAACTCGATAGTGTGACTATCTGTTGATAGATGGCACCAGTATTGCATTTCACGAATTATGGCCATCTTCCATCCAACATCCAATATATTTTTGAGAAATTTAGATATAATCTCAAAATCGGACATTTTGTTTTTAAATGTTTTTTAGTGTTGTTTGTTGTTTATGTACGTATTTATACTTTTGTTGAATCCAGAATATTCTTACATCTTTTTTGAATGATTTCCTTAACCAATCGTTTTGCAGTATTTATGGACCAGTGTTTAATTCTGTCGGATCACAACTATACAGTGTGTTCCATCTCAGACGAGCCACCCCGTATTTCTTATCCCATAGTAATTGGAAAAATTTCCCGAAACACGTCGGATGATTTTCTTTGGGGGACAACGATCTTTTGACGTATATTTGAGGCTTGAACCAGCAACCCCCTATGAGGGGGCGCTTCAACCCCTCAAAGTGGAATGGGGAAGAAGGGTTGAGGGATACATCATTTGTAAGGTCTTGAAAGCCTCTTTACAACGGTGTATGAAAAAAAATCACATTCTTAAAAAAATTAATTGTTTTATCACATGAAATGATCGAAGAACAAAAAAAATGAAGGCAAGATAAGAAAATGTTTTGATTTTTTTTTATTAATTAGTTCGAGAGAATTTATTATTGCATGGAAGCCAATGTCAATTGTAAGCATGATAAAACAATTGATTTTTTTTAAGAATGTGATTTTTTTCATACACCGTTGTAAAGAGGCTTCCAAGACCTTATAAATGAAGTATCACCCAACCCCTCTTCCCTAATCGATTTTGAGGAGTTGAAGCGCCCCCTTTTAGGGGGTTGCTCGTTCAAGCCTCAAATATATACGTCAAAAGATGTCCCCCAAAGAAAATCATCAGACGTTTCGGGAAATTTTTCCAATTACTATATATGGGATAAGAACTATACGGGGTGACTCGTCTGAGATGGAACACCCTGTATATAGTGAGAATAGGTAATTGCTTGGTAGCTATTACCACCGGTGTGAAGTTAGCAGTAAGTTTTTAACAGTAACAAGTATTAGAAATTAAAAATTTAAAAAAACCGACTTCAAAAACGTTCCAAATTTATATATGGGACCACCCCGAGGTACCCCCTTACTAACAAAAAAAGAATCATATAAATTGGACAAGGTGGTAAAGCATTATCGCTAAACATACATAAAAAATGAAGAGTTTGAGGATTTTCTCATGGACCCAATTATTAGATTTTGACCAAATATATATGGGACCACCCCTGAAGTACCCCTTTTCTAACAAAAAAATAATCATTGAAATCGGACACCGTGTTAAAGAATTATCGCTGAACATACACAAAAAAAAAATATATCGCGACGAATTGAGAACCTCCTCCTTTTTTGAAGTCGGTTAAAAATAACCGAAAACACCCGATCGGCAAAATAGTGGCGTCCGGCATACAACTATTTTAATAATCTTGCCAATATGTATTTTACATTAGGTTCGTTCTGGTTCTCAAAATGAAAACTGTTTTGAAACTGCGCCGGACCGTATGCGTAAAGGCAAAAAATCCCCGACTGTTTGAAATTCTTGGAAAACCAGAACACGTCATAAAGGTGTTTTGTTTATTGTTTATTATAATAATGAAGTTCCTTTTGAAAGCTCAGCTTCAAATAACATTTGCATGTATATGTTTATCATTATCATCACATTTCAATGGAATAAATAAAAACAGAATATTAAAAAATTAATAATTCTAAAATTGCTTTAATTTACAAATAAAACAAGAACAAGAGACATTCGTCCACATATAAATAAACAATTTGGGATTGTATACGTTTCGTATGGTCTAAAAAGCCAATACAATATTCATAACACTTCAAAAACGCATGCGCGGTCAAAACAGTCCGAGTCGATCCACACTCCCAAGCATGAACACTTTTTGACTGTTTACAACAATCACGGATTATTTCGGATACGAAACCAGAACAGTGGACTGAGAGATCCGAAGTAGTCCCAGAAAAACCAGAACACTTTTTATCTACTGCGCATGAGCCCGACAGTTGTGGATCGTTATTTCTCAAAACCAGAACAGACCTATTAATATCGGACAAATAATTAATATACATACCGTTGAAAATGTCCGATTTTGAGATTATATCTAAATATCTAAATTTCTCAAAAATATATTGGATGGAAGATGACCATAATTCGTGAAATGCAATACTGGTGCCATCTATCAAGAGATAGTCACACTATCGAGTTGCACATATTACTTGTAGAGGCCGAAACATGATTTTAAATTAACGCACTTTTCTCTCACC